TGCAGGGAAACTGACATCTGTCTGGCTACTTCCTGCTGACATCTGAACACAACCCTGCCTGATGGTTGAGGGCCTCTCCTTTCCTGCCCTAAAGGATCACTATCTTGTTCTGAAATTGTTGAGACAGGACAGTGTTCAGATCGATTTTTCATAGGATCACCCGAGTTACACTCAACTCCTGAGCCCCCAACAACAGAGGAATACTATGCACCTGGGTCTAGTTTAACATGCCCTGACCACTGCTGGTGTGTGTAGCTCCTTTGAGACCCCACGTCACCTCCAAGGCACACTTGGGGCATTTTCGAGCCAGATGATTATAGGATCCATGCTGGAAGCAAGTGGCAGATTTCCCTTCTACCCATTTGCTCCCTTGCTGACACGAATGACATGACCAGGCCTCTGTGGAAGCGAGGGCCTCTGGTCGAGGTTTGAGAGCAGCTCTGCTGGAAGGGAAGAACAGAGGTTTTTAATTTGCTATAATACCAGCCACAAAGTCTGTGTCAGAGACCTCTCCAAAGTACTGAAGAGCAACACAAGTCTGGAGACTAAGGTGCGCCTGATACAGGCCATGGTCTTTGCAATTACTTGCTATGCATCAGAAAGCTGGACAATGACTAGGGATGATAGGAGAGTTGATGTCTTTGAGCTGTGGTGCTGGAAAAGAGTATTGAATATACCATGGACTGCTAGGAGAACAAGTTCGTCCTGGAGAGGGTGAAGCTAGGCTGGATCAGTCCTTGGAGAGGGACGTCATGCTTGGGAGGGTGGAGGGACAGCACAGGAGAGGAAGACCTTCGAAGAGATGGATTGATTCAGTCACTGCGGTGTTGGAGACAGTGAGATTGGCACAGGACAGAGCAGGGTTTAGGGCTCCTGTACACAGGGTCGCTGTGAGTTACAGGCGACCGGAAGGCACATAACACCAACAGCCAGCCCCAGGCTATTCGGCTTTCAGCTGGCCCTTTTCTCTCTCCAAGCCTGTATTGTTGAACACTGAAAAAGTGGTGGCCGAAAAGTACACTTGAGACTCTCCGAGGGCCTAGAAGGGTTTTTCCTGAAGTTTTCTCCTGATCTCCAGGACAGACTGATAGATGAGAAGGGAATTCACCGCTCGTCTCCCCTCGGGGGATCCAGGGCCCAAACTTGTCACTTTCCGCATGCCTCCCTCCAGTCTGTTTCTAAATGCTGCAGGGTTTTCTTTATCTTGTGTTATTTCTAACTCAGAACAGTGTAGAGGCATCACCCAAACATCTTGCATTCCCTCTGAGACAGGTCTGTGTGAAATCCCACCAGCTCGACCCGCAGCCCCAGCTCTTCTTCTAATTGGTAGTTCCATAGTGGGTCTATCTTGGGGACTGCGTGAGCTCCATATGTTGGTAACGTGCATATTATCAGACCAATGTCTAGCAGCACTGATAAGTCCGAGCTGCTCATCAGGAAAACAGTGGAAAGACAGCAAAACTGTCCAATCTTTCCATGTTAAAAAAAATGCTCAAACTCCTCAAAAAATTAAAGGGCAAATAGCACTGGGAAAGTCTGCTGTCAGGGACATCTTCAGAGTACTGAAGAACAATGATGTCAGTCTGGAGACAGGTGTGCCTGATTCAGGTCATGGTCTTTGCAATTACATGCTATGTATCAGAAAGCTGGACAATGACTAGAGCTGATAGAAGAAATAAAGCCTTTGAGTTGCGGTGCGGTGCTGGAGAAGAGTAGTAAATATACCATGGACTGCTAGAACAAACAGGTTTGTCCTGGAGAGGGTGACACCAGGCTGCTCCTTGGAGGCAAGGATCCTGAAGGTCCATCTTACTTAATTTGGACATGTTGCAAGGAGGGACCAGTCTTTCCAGAGAGATGTCATGCTTGGGAGGATGGAGGGACAGTGCAGGAGAGGACAGCCCTCAACCAGGTGGACTGACAGTGACTGCAGTAACAGGTTCTCATGCGTCAGAGACTGTGAAGACGGCACAGGAGAGGACAGGGTTCAGATCTGTTGTTTACAGGCAAACTATGAGTCCTACTTGACTCGACGGCAGCTAACAACACGTTGTGTTAGGAAGCTCTGCTGGCCTAGTGGTAAGAAGCTGTGCTGGAAGCCCAAAGGCATGTGGTTCAAATCCACCAGCAGCTGCTCCACAGGAGAAAGATGAGCAGTCTCCTCCTATGTGATTTACCGCCTCTGAAAATCCACTAGAGGCTCAGCTATAGGTCAGTTCTGACTCAACTGTAAAACAACACTGTCAGGTGCTGTGGAGTGTGATCCGACTCAGTAACCCACACAGCAGAGTGGGACACGGCTGGGCCTGCCCCATCCCTGCCATCACGCTGTCAGCTCCTCCCCGAGGGGTCTCTCTCACTGACTTTACCAGGAACCATGTCCTTCTCCAAGGACTGAGCCCTCCTGATTGTCCAAAGTACCTGAGACTGTCGTGCCCCCTCACTTCTAAAGGGCACTCGGCTACTTTTCCAAAGGGAAGTGTGTACATTCTTCTAGCAGTATTCACCACCACAATTCAAAGACGTCGATTCTTCTTTGGTCTTCCTCATTCATTGTCTAGTTTTTGCATGTTGTTGTTTGGTGCCATTCACTCCAACTCAGGCCTGTGAACAATAGATCTGAACCCTGCCCTGTCCTGTGCCACCCAGAGGTCGGTGGACAGCACCTCAGGCCCTCACAAAGGGATGTGTGGGCCTGAGGTGCCGTCTGCTGACCACTTAAGAGATAGGCCCTTCTAAGGAGCTGGACCACGTTGTGGGGGAAGGCATGTGGGCTGCAGCGCCAGTAGCCCTGCCACGCAGGTCATCAGAACAGGACACACCAATGTGGCCAGTGGTCCTCAGTGTCTGCCGGGCCACTTCTGTGTGTCTGTCCCCACCCAGGGTCACCTGTGGCCTGGCCTACCTCCCATGGGACAGTCCCAACTCCTCAGAAGGACCAGGGTTGTCAACACTGCTCCTGACACACATGAGCAAGTCACATGTTCGTGAAGAGGCCACATGGCACATTGCTGCAGGGGACAAGGGCTGCGAGCGTGCTGCACCCCAGGCTGGAGGGGTGGACAGAGGGAGCTCCATCCAGGGCTGACAGCAGACATGCCCAAGGCCCCTTTTCACCCCATCTGTGTCCCATGCCCAGCTCCCCAGTGTCCTGTCACCAAAGACCACACCGGAAGGTTAGAGGGAGCCATGGAGGTCTGTTAGAGGCCATCCCACCAGGTGTGTCACTCTCAGGGTCAATGTCAATACAGAGTCTGCAGCAGGTGCACTGCAGACTGTCCCCATATGTTCCTGCCCCAAAGACAGGCATCTGGGGCCAGGGCCCTTTGCAGTGTTGGAGCTGGGGCGGGGGGCCCAACAAAGACAAGACAGGACTGAGGATGCGATGGCTGCAGCCAGGTCAAGGGCGCATGGGGCCTGTCAACAGGCCCGCAGCTGCAGGACGCCAGCCCACCCACGGCTGTTTCTCTTGGAGATGGGGGTAGCAGCTTGGCCAGACGCTCTGAGTACACTGTCCAAAGTGGCCCGTGTGAGAAGCACTTCGTCGTCAGGACCCACGGAGCCTGCTCAGTGCTGGTGGGCACTGCACCTGTGGCCAGCCCATCCGTGTGCCCTGCGGCCCTCAGATTAAGGAGGGAGCTTGCCCCTTGCCCCTCGGTGCCATGCCGGTGAGAGCAACATCTCTGGTCATATGTCAGCCTCCTCAGGACTTGAGAATGGCCACCGAGAAGAGTCAAACAGCACCTTCTATTCTGCTCGGAGCCCTGTGGGTAAGGTGGGCGGATGGCCAATACCTTACAGAAAGCACGTTGGGGAAAAACGGCAGCCAAGCTGGGCGTACACACGGCGGACGGGGACATGTGGTCAGCTGGGTCTGTGCGGCCAAGATGGGGGACGGGACCTGGAGGTGACAGAGCACTCACCCACAGACAGCAGCATGGCTACGCAAGTGGCTCAAAGAGTTTATTTTGAATACTTAATTTAAAAAAATCATACCTATATGAGGTGTACTACAGAAACGGAAATATAATGAATTGCGTAGAAAACCCAACAAAGTCCCAGAGAGGAGGAACTGGCGGGAGCGTTTGGCCGCGGTCTCGGCCAGGCACAGCCCCGAGGGTTCCAAGTCATGCACCTGCCTCGCCGGCATGGTGACTGGTCAGCCATCGGCTTCCCGGGCTCGGGCACCCAGGAGGAGCCAGAGGAGAGGCTTTGGTCCAGCACTAACTCGTTCTCCTTGTGTCCAGCCAAGGCGTCAGCGGGAGGCTGTGGTCACCTAAAGGGACTTTTGGCAGACACGGCAGTGTGTCCTTCGAAAGAAGGACATTCCTGACCGTTGACGACAGAAAAGGCACTGCCTCCTGCGGTTCAGAGGTCGCTGCCGCCACCAGATGCCAGCTCACTGCAGTGGGGGCCTCGACACCCCTCAGCTCTCCAGGAACCCCCCAGATCTCTGCACTGTGGCCAAGAGCTACAGCCAGGCAGGCTGGGGGAGTGAAGAGCTGTTGCCTGGGCAACAGGGCAGGTCAAGGAGAGGCAGTAAGGAAGGAGGGCAGGGGTGAAGATGGGGTCTCCACGTGGGGCAGAGATCCCAGGCTTGTCAGTATTGGGGTTCACAGTGGTCAGAAAAAGTATGGGACGTCCTTGCTAGCTGTGTACCTCGACTCTCAGTTTGGGAGCCGTTGGGCCTCCTTGGAGGACAGGCCCGAGTCTGCGTGGCCACAAGGCCAGCATGTGCCACCTGCCTCCATGGGCCTAAAGCCCTGCACTGGCTCCATGCGACAGTCATTTTGGCAAAAGAAAAGAGGAAACACCTTGAGTGCTGAAAAACAATTTCCCAGGTCTTCCTAAGGGACATGATTACAATATATTAGCAAATTTTGTGGCATAAACATTTCCAAAGCATCAGCGAAAGTATTAAATATAAAGGCAGTATGTCTCCCCCGCCCTCGGGGCAGGAACCAGCGAAGGAGAGATGCCGGCGAGGCCGGCGGGGCGGCTTACTGCCGCAGCTCCACGTAGTTGGCTGGGAAGAGCCCGTAGCGGCCCTTGCAGACCCCACGCCACCAGCCGTCGTCAATCATCTCGATGTTGGTGATGATATCATCGGGATCAAAGGAGATCTCATCGTCACCCGCTGTGAGGGGGGCACAGGGAGGTTAAAGCAAAGGACTTCACCTGCTACGCCGAAGAGCAAACCATGGGGTCAGGCTGCCAGAAGCCGCCCCGGGGAGGAGGGCAGCCTTCTACAGGGTCCCGTCCATGAGGACTGGGTGGGCACAGACCACGGGAGCCCTTCAGAGCAGCACACAGGCCCTCAGCAGAGGCGTGCCCCCTCCAGCAGGGACAGGTCCTGGACAGGCTTATCTGAGCTCCCATCCCTGGCAATGCCTATGGCCAAACCCACTTAGCAGCTCTGAGCAGAGTGACCAGCTCGTGTATTCCTGCAAAGGTCCCGACCTGAAAGCCCCACAGAGCAGCTGTACCTGTCCTGTAGGGCTGCAGAGTCAGATGGACTGCCCAGCTCCTCAGCACACCACCACATGGCCGAGGGGACAAAGACGGGCATGCCTGGCTGAGGGTGCGGACAGGGGGGATCCCCTGCACCGGGCATCAGAACCGCAGCATCACAAGTGCTCACTGACCCCACTTGTCAGCAGGGAGTCTGGTGGGCACCATACCAGGTGTCACACCACATCTATGGCCCTCCTGCACCAAGCTCCATGATGGCAGGCTGGTGCCAGGCTGTCCCCAACAGCACATGAGCTGCCCAGCCCAGCCCAGCCGGTCCATGGACACTGAGTGGCACAAGGGGGAGGGAGGCATGGGCTCCCACCGGGGTTTTCCTTGTTTTTGAGAGCTCATTGGTGCTGTTACGATGCTGGTACGTGTGCACGCGCTGTTGTCACCGATGCCAGAGACTGGTGACAAAGGCAGCAGGCAGTGTGTGTGCTGCTGCCTCTGACCCGCCTGAGACAGAGGACACCACACCATGAGACCAACGACAGGACAGAGCGCGTGTGAGAACGCGTGTGTGAGAGCACGTGTGAGAGCATGTGTGAGAGCACGTGTGAGAGAGCGCGTGAGTGGGTGTGCACTGTTGACAGTGGTGAAAGGACAGCATGTGCACCTTCTGCTGCCCCTGAAAGCAGAGACTGTGGACAACAAGGAGAACGACAAGGGAGACTGTGCTGTGTTTGTGGCTGGTACCTCTGATGTCAGAAACTGACTAGCAGGGTAGACTGAGGGTGTGCATGCTGTCTGCAATGTCGGCACGCCTGTGTGCAACAGGGGGTGGGGAGAGAGAGACGGGGGTTGGGAGGGAGAGAGAAGGGGGATAGGAGGGAGAGAAGGGGGATGGGAGGGAGAGTAGGGAGAGGTGGGGGATGGGAAGGAGGAGGGGGATGGGAGGGAGAGGAGGGGATAGGAGGGCGAGAGCACACAAGAGCGAGCACGCACACATACAATACATGAGGCGGCTGATGGCACAGGTGGAGTCTGGACAGGTAGAGCCTAGCTAAGGGGACACACGACCCTGGCCCTACTGAAGTGCTCGTGCCTGGCCCGCCCCTCCCCAGTGGGCGGCCAGTTGTCAGGGTGGCTCACCAGCCTGGTAGTCGTAGAGGGCGATGGCCGTGATGCCCAGCTCGTTCTCGTACTCGTCATAGGTGTTTTCCTCTGAAAGGGACAAGAGCACGTGAGCGGCAGCCCCACTGTGACGTCCAGACACCTCACCAGGCTGGGGGTGGGGGTGGGTGGATAAAGACCCTCCAGTGTTCTGCAGAGGTCCTGGGGTTCAGGCCCTATAGAAGGACATGAACCTCCAGGGGCGAGATCCAGACCCTGTTATGAGGACTCTGTATGTTTTCAGAGTCCCCCAATACTTACCGCCCAGGTGAGAAAGGGCAGGTCACAGAGCTGGCAGGTGGCCTCATTTGACCTGTGCCACTTAGGGACCCTCAAAACTTGTCTAACAGGGTCTCACAATGAGCTAACACCAACCCCAGAACCCTCTCAGGTCACACCTCAAGGGGAGGGTGCCCATGTCAGACGCACCACATGCTTTGAAGGGACCACTTGAAAAGTCATAGCCAACAGAGTGTCCGGAGGCCATCATGTGCCGGGGTCCTCAGAGCTCGAAGCTCTGTCCTTGAAGACTCCCCCGCAGCGGCCCAAGCATGTCCTGCCCTCCACCCCGCCGAGGGGTGATGTCACCCCGCACCTGTGTGGTACTGGGCCTGGGTGTTGGTGGTCTCGTAGACAGCCTCGGGGGCATAGGCAGTAGGGACCTCAGCCTCGCAGTAGTCGTCCGTGCTGTACACGGGCTCAGGGTCCTGTGCGGAGCTGCTGGGGCCTCTGTAGGCAGACTCTGCCCGTAAGGAAACAGCATCCTGGGAAGAGACAGACACATCTCAGCACTGTGCCAGCTTGGGAAGGACGCACACACGCCCAGCCAGGGCAGAGACCGCGGCGTGGAGAACCGAGGCTGCAGCACTCAGGAGGACCCCTCCTCCCACAGCCTCACACCTGCACCACCCCACTATTCCTTAAGGCTCCTGGGCTTCTCGATTTCAGATCCTTCAGCCCCAGCTGGCCTGGGCAGCCAGACCTGTCTGACAGGGCCCCACACCACGGGGATGACGAGAGCTGTTGTAAGCAGACCCTCCCTTGAGCACCTGGGCCAATGTGCAGATGGAGGAATGAGGGCTCTGGTGCCCAGCACTGAGGGAGTCGGGGGTGGTCAGGGCCCATGGGAGGGGATCCATGGTCAGAGAATGGGGGAAGTGCCAGGAAGATGACACCAGTAAAGATGGGCAGCTGAGAGCCGCTGCCCCCAGCAGGGATATCTGACTGTCTGTCTCTGTCTCAGAGACACACACTCCTAGGTGGACACGAAGGACCCTGGGTGTCCAGAGTGGGAGCAGGCACTGAAGGACTCCTGCTTGACGGCGGGGCTTGATCTCAGGCCGAGGGTCAGAGACCTGCGAGCAGCATGGAGCCAAGCACCCACCTCGTACACGGGGCTGGAAGGTGGCTCCTCGGCAGCCGGCTGGGGCGTGGGGGACACGGGAGGCGTCTGCTTCTGGGCTCTGGCTTCCTCCTGCGATTGAAGGACAAGCAGTGACCAACAGGGTCGCTGGAAGACGGGGACAAGCCCACGCTGGGCGCACGCCATCACAGGACACTGGGACTCTGAGGAAGGGGGCTCTGGTGGCCTAGTGGTAAGGAGCTGTGCTGTAATCCCAAACACAATCGGTTCAAATCCATGAGCTGCTTCACAGGAGGGTGGGCAATTTACTGACTCTGAAAACCCGCCCAAAGGTCCGTTAGTGGGGCACTTCCGACTCAAACAGCAGACACACCACCACGTGCTGTGAGTCAGGCTCGCCGGACCCAGGGCCTCATGCCCACGGGGTGCTTCCAAGCCACCACCCAGGAAAAGCCCCAGACGGGGAGGCACACCGTGCACCCCACCACACCCGACTCGGCTCAGACGACGCACACTGAGACCTCTGAAATGATGGGATTCGGACTTAGTGGGGAGCTGAGGGTGTGAAGAAGCTGTATGAGCTGGGGGGTAGGGTGGGGTGGTGTCAGCAGACAGAGGGCCCCCCGAGATGCCATGTCCCAGTCCACAGGCCTGTGACTGGGGTCTTACAGGGCAAAGGGCATCCAGGAGGACTGAGGTGGGAGACCCGCTGGATTATCACAGGGTCCTGACCTGAATGAGGCAGGCCAGAGTCAGGGGAGCTGACCAGATGTGGGGAGGCACCATGTGTCACGGCATGTGGGTGTCACTGGCCCTGGAGGAGGAAGGGCAGCATCTGGAGTGCCCATCAGACAGCGCTGGCCTCCAGGGTGAACTTAAGGTGACCAACACCAGCTGCTTTAAGCAGCAGCTGTGGAAGCTACATCCCGAGCTGGAAAGGGCAGCGCGTCCTCGGTCCTCTCAGGTGGCCACGGCTCCGGAGACGACGTCACACCCAGGGACCCACAGCCATCTCTTCCCCACTGGCCAGGCCCCCGCTCTGCCTGCCTCCCTCAGCGGGGACACAGATAAGCAGTTCCCTTCCATAAGAGTCAGCCCTCGGACACCTTCCAGGCAGCTCTCACTTCCTGCACCGTCACCAGGAGTCGGCAGGGACCTGCCGCAGCGGTCTGAGGCCGGTGGGACGGGGACGAGAGTGGTGGCAGAGCCTGCGGGCCTTGCTGGGAAGATGGCCCGTGTTCCTGCTGCCAACGAGATTCTGACTCTGATCAACCCGTGGGCCAGCGCAGAGCTGGCCAAAGGGTGTCCCAAGTGGTCACTTTCGGTCCAGCAACTAAGTGCATGCTTGCTGCTGGCCGAGAGGTGGGCAGTTCTAACACCGTCTGCTCTGTGGGAATATGATGACGACATGATGAGGAGGGGGCTCCGTCAACACGACAGCCTTGGACACCCCCGGGGAGCTCTGCCCTGTCCTCAGGGCCCTGACCCTGTCCTGGGCGTCACAACTACTGCTCCACAACCGCTTTAGTTGGGATCCACACAGCACTTTCCCACAGTCAGCACGTGGGCTCAGGCCGCACGTCCCGGTCAGCAGCCAGCCAGACACAGACAGACAGACAAACACACACACACACACCCCACCCTGGCACCTCTTCACCCACCGCACACTCTCCTACATCTTCTCACAGACCTGACGCCCTCTCCCAGGGCCGGGGCCTCCCCCCGCATGGCACCTCTTCTCCCAGGGCCGGGGTCTCCATGCCGTCTGGGCACTGACACAGGAGTGAGGAGTGGAGGGAGGGAGAGGGGTGTGTCTGTCTGTCTTGAATACTGTGAATGAAGTATGTTACCAGTATGTTACTGAAACCTGTGAAGGCCAACAGAGGACACTATACATATTAAAAAGATGAGCTGGCAAATATTCTTTACAAACAGTAAGAAAAGTTTCCTGTTATTAAACTGGACAAATCAATTCCCAGCAACCCTCCACTGGGTTTCCAAAGCCCTCGCTCTTCATGGCAGGAGACTGCCGAGGAGTCACTGGGGGATCTCAACTGCCTTTGGGTTAACTGTGCACCCAAGTGTCTGCTCCAGCGGTTAGAGAACATTTAACAAACTGCAATAATGTATCAGAAATTTTTACCAACAGGGTGAAAAGAAAAACCTACTGACTGGGAATAAAATATGTGGCAATACAATCTCAGACAAGGTTTTTATAATAAAAGTTTACAGGACCTCCACAAGAAGACTGATAACCCAATTATAAAATGGGCAAAAGACAGGGAAGGACTTTTCACCGAGGAAGATAATTCAGATGGCCAAAAGACACATGAAGAAATGCTCAACATGGCTGGCAGTAAGAGATGCAAATCAAAACCACAGTGAGATCCCACCGCATCCCAGTAGCAGTGGCAAGTGAAACAGGACAGCAAGTAACAAATGTTGGAGAGGATGAGAAGAGACTGGAACTCTCAGTACTGCTGGTGAGACTGTAAAATGGTACAACCGCTCTGGAAGGCTGTTTGGTGTTTCCTCAAAAAGCTAAACATAGAAATTCTGTATGATCCAGCTATTCCACTGCTAGGAATATACTCCAAGAAAAAAGAACTGAGACCCAAACGGAGACTTGTACACCAGTGTTCATAGAGTTATCCACCATCAGAAGAACGTGGAAACAGCTCAAATGTTCAACCACAATCCAACGGACTGAGAACGTGCGGTACACTCCCACGATGGACTGAGAACGTGCGGTACACTCCCACGATGGACGATCGTCCAGTCCTCGTGAGCAATGATTTGGGAAATGACTACATAACTTGGGAGGGAAGGAAGAGCCTTATGCTGAGTGAACTGACTCAGTCCCACAAGGACTGTCCAAGGCCCATAAATTTTGTATAAGAACATTACTGTAGAAAGAGAACTGGTCAAACGCGTGTGAGGATCTGGGGTGGTGGAGGGAGAATAGAAGGGGGAGGATAAATTGGGCGGAAACCATAGGGTCGCACGATTTGGTGGGTGGAGGGGTAAAGGAAATGGGAAAAGATCCGGTGGGGGTCTGGAAAGACAAGCTAATGTGGGTGCAGTTCAATGGAGTCGGTAAAACATGATGAATGGGAATGATTGTATGAAACATAATGCATACACACTTTGTAAGCAAAGGAATATAGTTAAAAACAACAAAAATAAGAAGAATAAGCGCTGTAGTAACAGAATCTGCCGCCTCCTATCTCCCTGCAGGTGGGGTTGGAGTGCTGGTGTGTGGCGTCGAGTCAGAACCGACTCACAGTGGACCCTCCAGCGGGCTTTCAGAGGCTGTAAATCACATGGGAAGAGACTGCTCGGCCCTCTCCAGCACCGGGGCTGGGGGACTTGAACTGGCTGCTTCTGGGTTGGCAGCCCCTCCCCCGGCCACCAGGTGTGTCGGTGGCATGCTTTCCGATCTCACTGCAGCATGGTTTCTCGTGATAAGGTTCTCAGGGACATACATTCCTTCTGTGGAGTTTTCAGAGCCCCTGTCCCAGAACCGGAGGATGTGGACTGTAGATTTACCCAGCAGCCCTTGTGGCCCAGTGCATGGCGAGCTCAGCAGAGCAGCTGCCCACAGGTCGGTGGTTCCACCTCAGAAGCCGCTCCACAGCAGAAGCGGAAGCAGGCTCCTCCCATAGACGTAGACTGACAGCCTTGGAAAAGGCGCCTGGGAGAGGTGCCGGTGAGAGCGGAGACCAAGACCCAGGAGACACAAGGGGCCAATGCAGTGGACAGAAGAGGCCAGAAGGGCCCGGCACCCGGGCAGGCACACTCAGGCCCCTGGAGATCTGCTGTCGGGAAGGCGCTCTAGGGTGCAGCATAAAGGGCTTGGCTGCGGAGCAGTGCAAACCTAGTCTACTCCATGGCACAAGGGTGAGGCCACAGCTCTGCAGAGAGGACAGCCTCACAACCCACGGGCCAGCTCCACCTTGTCCTGGGGTGTGTGAGCTGAATGGGTTTTGGCATGTGTGGTCCCCGTGGCCGAGTTCAGAGGAGGGCCTCGAGCCGGCAGTCCCTGCCCTCCCAGCCCTGGCCCCGCACCTCCAGCTTCCGCCGGGCCTCCTCCTGCTCCTGCTTCTCCTTGGCCATCCTCTGCGCCCGCTCTGCCTCAGCCTTCCGTCGGTCCTCCTGTTCTCTCTCCTTCGCCAGGTTTTCAAAGTTGGCCCTGATGTTGCTGGTCTTGCTGTTAACTGCAGAGAAAAGACACGTGAGACCTCAGGACAGAGGCAGCGCCCTGCCTTGGGTCAGCGCCTCTGCCCTGGGACAGCATCCCTGCCTCAAGTCAGCGCTGGCCTCAGGACAGCACCCCCACCTCGAGTCAGCGTCTACTTCCAGACAGAGCCCCTTCTTCAGGGCAGCAGGGGCCTCTAACAGCAAGGGTCCACCCACCACACTCTCCTCACTGCCCTTCCTACAAGGGCCAAATCTGTGACCAGGCACAGCCTGCCACCCAAGAGCTGTCACAGCCTCTTAAATCCCAGCTCTCCCTCACAAAGGCACGACCACATCCTAAACCCCAACTAAACGACTAAGGGGGCTCTGGTGGCCCCGTAGGAAGAAGCTGCACTGCAATCCCAAAGTCAAGAGATTTGAATCCACCAGCTGCTCCACAGGAGAAGAATAGGCAATCTCCTGTACAATTTACTGCATGTGAAAACCTGCTAGGGGTCAACTCAGACTTGACAGCACACAACAACAAGGGCAGAAATCAATGTGAGGACAACACTGTCTCCAACAAGAGCTACAAACATGCGCAGCCCTGCGCCGTCTGTCCTGACATCGCAAAAAAGGGCATTTTAAGAAAGTGACGTTAACCTGCAATCACTTTCTTATTTTTAAATGTTAGTAAAATTGGCTTTGATTCCCATCTGCAAACAGCAGCAGTTAAAATGCACACAAGAAAAGCAGTACCTCGGGGCCCATGAGGATCTAGGGGTGAAGGGGTCCCACATCACCCACCTGCTTCCACAGGGACTGTCTTCTGGTAGGTGGAGGATACCTTGGAAACGTCTTCAAATGTGGACGCAGTCTAGACAAAAAAGCTCGTCAGTGAGGCTGCCCACCACGCACATTGTCCAAGGCAGGGAGGTGGGTGGTGGGCCTACGAGTCAGTGTCAGGACACAAACGCATAGACCTGGAGCCTGTGTCTGCACCTCCCCAGGGCACTGCCAGCTCTATGGACATGCCCTCTCCGGCCTCACCATCATCCCCAGGGACACCCCCACCCCTGCTCCTGGGTTTGGTAATGTGGCAAGAGTCTGGGACAACAGCATGTGAGGACATTCTCAGACAGGCGTGCTGTGCAAACTGCACCACTGTGCAGGATGTCCAGAAGGAGAGATCTGAGCACACAGCCAGGGGCTGACTCACCTCTCCACTCTCCCTGGGCCTCCATCACCTCTCTGCTCTCTCCAGGCCCTCCTGCCTCATCACCTTGTCACCTCTCCATTCTCCCAGGACCTTCCCGTTTCATCACCTCTCAGCTCTCCCTCCCCTTTCCACTCCTCCCCTCACCTCTCCTCAGGACCTCTCAGCTCCTGTCTGAGGCTAAGCACCTGGCCACCCCTTGGGCACTCACACTGTGAGCCAAGCGAAGCGGTCCCTAAAGCAAACCTCTTTGAGGTGCTTTCCACTCAACTCTTGTGGCTGCTGCGAACCCACCTACAGAGCTGCAGCCAACGCCTCACTCTCACCCCCACTCTGCAGTGTGCTGGGATGGCCTTGGCTCAGCCCTGGGAGTGACATTCACCCCTATGTCTGGTCTTGCCCTCAGCTCACCTGTCTCCTGACCCCCATTCTTCCAGAAGCACTCCTACCTGTCCTGCAAAATTGCACTCAGGCCCTGACTCCTCAGAGCCTGTCCCTGACGCTTGGCCTGACTCACGTCCCGTCCTTGCCCCAAGCCTGCTGGGATGATGCCTGGAGCCCTGGGACATGCTGGGCTCCCAGGGTGAAGGGTGTGTCTACAAGGTGGAATCTGGGCTTAATGAAGGGGGACTGTTGAGGGCCACCCTGCCTCAGGGACAAGTATAGTGGGGTCGGAGCCCTCACACCTCTGGCTGAACCGAATGGATATGGGAAGTGCCCCCTGCCTGTGTCTGCATGCGTCCACACGTCACTATGATGCAGGCTGGAGAAAGCATCACCTAACAGTCTGTGGTGGGACCATGGCCGCTGACCCCAACCAGGGCTGAAAGTCTCAGAGCTGACTCGAGGGAAGGGGTTCCTCTCACAGGCTCAAGGCTGTCCAGCAAAGCTGCTCCCACAGTGGACACACTCATTCCCCTACTGTTCAGCACCACAACCAGTGGCCACGTGCAGCTCCCAGGTTCAACCAACATGCCTAGAGTCCCCAAGGCACTGACTTCCCATCTGACTTGTCGTTTTATCAGACAGCCACATGCCGGGTGGTCCTGGCTCTGAGCTCTATTCTGATGGAGGGGCCTGGAGGGCCGGCAGAGCCCAACCTAGTCTGGACTTCCCATAGAAGGATCTGGAGGCCACCAGAACACAAGCCTGTCTGGACTCTGGGTTTCTGAGCTGTACACTGGGACAGACAAGGATGGACAGTGCTACAAGTACAACCCACACCACACCCTATCAAGGGACGTGGAGGGCCAGCAGAGGCTAGGCCTGTGTGGACTTCCCATCAAGGGGTCGAGGGGTCAGGGGAGACACCAAAGGCTGGGCTTGTCTGGACTCTGCTTTTCAGCTGTCCCCTTGTCGGGGACAGACAGGAATGGGCAGTTCTGCAAGGACAACCCACACCCAAGCACACCACCACCTACATGGCTCCAAGTCACTGCACCCCTCCACCAGTGCCCGAGACTGCCAAATCTTTACAGTAGAGTCTGCCTATCTCCCTCTCACAGAGCGGCCGGTGGGCTCGTTAGGGCGTGCATCACAGAAACCACCACGCCACCAGGGCTTCTGCAACTAGGACCCTCGCTCACTGCCATCCAGTCAGAGCTCACGGCTGACACGTCACTGAGTTCCAAAGGCTGGAAATGGCATGAGAAGAGATGGCATCCCAAGAAGCTGGTGGGTTCAAATCCCCAGAGGGCAGCCTTTGGGTCAGCAGCACATCTCCTGGACTACCCTACAAGATGGCCCACGACAAGTGGGTGGACAATGGCGGGGCATGGCCTGGCACCTGGAAAGCACAGCTCAGACTCCAGCTGGTGCTGCAGTGGGAACAGGGGTGCCGCTGCAATGTGCACTTGTACCCCTGACGAACCCTCCTACTGATGGCCCAGGTCCTCGCCACGTCACCAATTAGCCCAGCAGGGATGCCGGAGAAGGCCTGGTGGCCCCTTGTCAAGAATGGCCACTGCATGCCCGACGGAGCCCTTCACGACAGGCTATAACGCGCACAAGGACACACGAGAGGAGCAGGGTCCTCTGTCCGACCCACACCCGCTGCAGCGAGCAGGGAGGGCGCCTGGAATGGGCACTGCGGGGAGAAGGGAGCAGAGCACCCTCCCACTGAGGGGCTGCACAGTCCCGGGGCCACAGGACGTACAGACATCTCTGAGGGGACAAGTGCCCCGCTCTCTGGATTTGCACATCAACAGAGAAGAAATAAAACGTGTGGGGCCCAGCCGTTCTCTGACGAGGCGCCCCGAGCTGTGGCCCCTGCTTAGCGGCAGGGCCCCTGGGCCGACCGGCGACACTCACCTTGTCCATGCGGTCCTTCTGCACCCCGTATTTCCCACCGAAGCCTTTGGAGTAGTCTGGAAAGGGCACGAGAGGCTTGTTTCAGGTGAAGGTCATGCTGAGTGCTGACCACAGAGGCATGCAACGGGGTGGGCGGGAGAGGACGGCGGGGTGGCCAGCCCGGGGGCCCCGGCTCTACCGTGGTGTGAGGACTGTGGTGTGGGGCCCGGGCAGGGAGAGGCGGGAGGGGAGCATGCTATCTGCATTCCCGGGGACAGGGACAGTGGGGTCTGGGGACGTGCACAGCGCTCCGGGGGACAGCACAGACTTCACACCCAGCGCCTCGTGCCCATGCGCCGTCCTAGCGAGCACCTGGCCGAGGCACGGCTGCAGCCTTTCCTCTTTCTCAAGAAAACAAATGCCACGTGGGAGTTCTGGCAGCCAAACACGGACCACGTCAAAATCACGCCGTGCACGGTCACGGCCTCGCCAGCCCACGCCCACTGCATGCGACGTGCGGGCACTGCCGGGGAGGCCCGCGGCTGAGTCGATGCTGACTCACAGCACAACCCGACGGGCATGGCTCCCAGGGCCGCGTGGCTGCCATCTTCAGGGGAGCACACTGCCAGGCCTTTCTCCCTGGGCGCCGCTGGCAGACCTCACGCCCGGTCCCAGCACCTGGACACAGCCCGGGACTGAAGGCCACAACCTGCATGAGCCTGTAGTCAACAGCCAAGCGCCTGGGCCAGCACCAGGGGACAGAGGCTGGGTCAGGCCTACGTCCCGCTCTGTCCAGGTTCTAGTGACAAAGGCTGAAGGGGACACCAGTCGAAGAAGAGGTGAGCCTGCCATTCCAACTCCCAGCACGTACACAAAGCCTCTTTTTCAGCTTTGTACACAAAATGTTTGGGATCTGGGTGAATACAGTGTCATCAAAAACAAACAAACAACAGACAACAAAAGCCTTCCTGCCCTGGCCAAAACAAAAGAGACCGAGAGACAGAGGGACACAAAACCACAGTTGACACGCCTGCCTCAGGCCCTCACTGGCCAGTCGGGCTTCACCAGGGCCTTCTGTGTGGTGAGGGCGGGGACACTGCCACTCAGCCAACCGAGGAGAAAACCCTGAAGACCAAACCCACTACTGCAGTGGGGCCCAACTCAGACTCTGCTCAAGTGTCCAAGGCTGTGAATTTTGATTGAGGAGAGAGCCCATCTTTCTCCCCAGGAGTGCTTGGCACATTTGAACTACTGAACTTTTGGTTATCAGTGTGTGTTACACACGAGGCCTCCATATCCAGAGAGGACAACACAAAATCGGCCAGTGTGGGACCGCACTGGGAGACCAGACACTGGGTCCAGCACCTGGACTTGCTGGAGGACCCGGGTGTTGGGGGACAGGGGTCTGGGGCCCAGAGATAGTGCCACGATCTGCGGTCCTTTAAAAACATGAATGGTGGGGTGCGCACCCCGCTACCCTGCTCAGCATGGGGTGAGCATGGTGACCCATGAGGGCACTGGGCAGCACACGGGCCTGAAGTCTGTGCTGCCGGCGGCCACGCTGGGGACAGGGGCTGGTGTGCGACTGTGCCTTGCTGGGACTCGTGCTTGGCCAGTTTCTCCTTGTAATCAAACCCCACAGCGGACGAGTCCTGCCTCTCGGACTGAACACCAAATTTGCCTCCGAAACCGGCCTTATAGTCTGGGCGTCCACAGGTGGCAGGTAGAGAGAAGCACCGGGGAAGAGACATGGATTTAGTGGTGGAAGTGCGCAGACTTGCAGACGTGCTGACCCGCGCTGTGTAGGGGGCCTCGGCCAGCTCCACGCTCGGGGCTCACAGGTGGAGGGCAGGCCAGGTGTGAGAAGAGAAGCCTGCCCTCCCTCAGGAGGGGTGGCTCCGAGGCTGGCACGGATGGGGTCCCACCCAGCCCGCAGACAGGAGCCCACCCCACCACCCACTTCTCTGCCGGGAGGACGGTGGCACCAGACCGTGCCCAGGTGCAGGTCTCTGAAAGACCAGTCCCAACCTCCTCGTCCTTAAGTACTTTTTCCTCCCCTCAGTCCACTCTGTCCAGCACAAGGTCCCATTTCGTGGGGAGGAAGCACTTGTGCATAGAAAAGTGGGGTGTCCCTCAGCAGCACGACTTCAGAGCAAGGACTGCAGCTGCAGACACATCCCACACACTGCCCCTCCCTGCCAACGTGGGGTGGGGACCCCGCACAAACTGGGTCCTGTCTATGATTCCTGAAGACTGTACTCACTGCTGTCTATGACACACGGGAACCCTACACCTACGGGCTCCTGTGTGTCAGGAAGACCCAGAACCCCACACACACTACCCGTCTAACCTGGGGACCCTGCACACACCACCCCTTCCTCCCTCACTCCCTGCGAGAGATTTTGGCATGTATGTGTGCGTGTGGACCCTGCAGAGACTGGGGCGTGTGTGTGTGTGTGTGTGTGTGTGTGTGTGTGTGTGTGTGTGTGTGTTTGAGATTGATTCCCCGCAAGTGTGTGTGAGAGATATTCCGTGTGTGTATGTGTGTGCACGTGAGACTCCCAGGGACCCCGCGCGCACGCGCGCGCGCACACACACACACACACACACACACACACACACACACACTGCCGCTGCCTGTCAGTGATTCCCCGGGGACTCTGCACACACTGCTCCTCTTTGTCTGTCCATCTATGAGCCCCGGATGTGTAAAAGCCCGTGAATTTTAACACTAAGAATGTTGTTCAGACCTATGGTGGCCCAGGGCACATCTAACAGAGAGGGGACAGACAGATACACAGAAAACACAGCACTGGACAGCTTAAACCTGAAAGGAAAGAAGAACGAGTTTTGGGGCACTGGGAAGTGAGTTTCAGGGCGCTGGAAGGCGCAGGTGGAGTGGGAGTACCTTTCTGGGACTCGTGCAGCTGCACCTTCTCCTGGTGATCCCAGCCAAGGGCACATCTGTCTTGTCTGTCTGTCTGCACACCAAATTTTCCTCCAAACCCTTTCACATAGTCTACACATGCAACGAGAGGCCACAGCAGGTGTTAACAGCCAGCAGGGAGAGGAAGGCAGGTCTGTAACACAGTCAGGCATACACGCCGGGCACAGTGGCCCTGTCTCTGCAGCCCCACGGACACCGCCCGGTAACATCCACTGAGGGTCTCCTCGGGCGTGACCTCAGGCCCAGTCCTGGGCAGACAGAAGCACGGACACATGCGCCACACAGCACCACACACCACTGCAGACACACACGTGCAAAGGGGCCAGACGGCAGCTCAAAAACCCTACATGGGTCAGGTCTGGACCTCCAAACATCCGACAGTGGGGGCAGGACTGGCTCTTCTGTGTGGACCTCCGCTCACTCGCAGAGCTGTTCACTAGGAAGGCCTGGGGGTGAGCCTGCATCCCCCACCCCACCTGTCTATCAGGGTAGGCGCCGCTACCGTGGGAAGAACAGAGGAAAGTGGAGACACCTTTCTGGGACTCGTGCTTCTCCGTTTTGCCTTGGTACTCGAAGCCAACAGCACTCTTGTCCACTTTGTCCTTGTCAATCCCGTATTTGCCACCAAAGCCTTTGGAGTAATCTGCAAACAAGAAACAAGACAGTTCACCTGCAGCAACAGGCCAGCAGATTCCGCGGAACCGAGACTCAGGGGCGGAGGGCCACAGCAAGGACCGAGCCATGGGAAGCAGAGAGGTGCCCCTTAATGACAGTGGTCAGATTCAGTGGTGGCCTCCCTTGGCGTGTCTGAGACCGGCAGTCCCCAGCAGGCCCCCACAGGCCCCTCTGCTCCATGACCGAGAAGGTCAGTGTGCTGGGAAGATGTCCAAGAAACAAGGTAAAGAGCAAAGCAGCTCCGAGACACATCAGTTCTACTCAAAGCTGCGACACTCGAGATGCTGTTTTACACCAGAGTGTGTTACTGGGACACCCTTCACGACTGGCCTGGAAAGGGGCGCAGGGGCGGACCCAAGCCCCTCAGCACAGCACAGGCCAGGATCCCCAAGGAATGCTGAACCCAGAGACGCTGAAGGAAACGAGGACTGTCCTCCAGAATGGATAGAGGGGGCCTTCCCTGAAGTCAGCACCCTGAATTAGGACTGCTGGTCTCCTTAAGGGCGAGACCCAAACCGCCTTGCCTCGGAGCCCACAGCCAAGCCTCCTCCTGGGACAGCTTCCATCCCAGCTATATATCCTCCCCGCTCCACGCAGCACCCCTCCGCTTTTCAGAGCCTCCTGCCGATGCCACAGGGCAGGTGCCAGCTGACCAGCATCAGCCCTGGGACCTGTGGCTGCACCTTGAGGAGCTGTTTCCTGGGTTCTCCTTGAAGAGAAACGTACTGCCTCCCGACTTAGGAGACTGCTGTGTCCGGCTGGGGCTCCAGCAGGTTGAGGCGGTAGGTGCACGGTGGAGAGGACATCCCCTCCCTTCTCCTGCAGAGCTGCTGGTCGACTCAAACTATGCAAACCATGAAGCCACTAGAGCCTTTCTTCACGATAACAGGAAAGAGAGACGGCGGGCAGTGCGGCTGGCCGGGACTCAGATGCTTCTGGAAAGCTAGCCACTACACCCCGAGGGCGGTCCTCCACTCTGACACAGCTGGCCTGTCAGTGGTCAGTCGACTGGCCATTCAGACGGCAACGGGCCTTTTGGTCACCACTACTCTGTGAGCCAACAATTCCATTTCTAGAAGTTCATTCTCTGAGTAACACCGTCCATGTAAAGTACAGTCACTGTAGCTACCTCTCCAAGTGAAAGCCTGGATGCACTCGGGGACGCAGCTGAGTAAGCTACAGGGCTCCACGCAACCAGAGCTAAGGTGTCATCTCAAACAGAACAAGCACCCTGCACTCAGGTCGCAAGCACAGCAAACGCTGTTTGAAAATAAAAATCAGGGACAGGGTAACCTAACTTGTGGGGTGTAGGGAGCCCGTCCAGACTGTTTCTGTTTAATGCCAGGGAAGAAGCGGGAAAGGACCTCGCTTCTGCCAGGGGAGGAGGAAGACCAACCCGGTGGCCAGGCCCGCCCGCTGTGCCCGCAGTGGCCAGCCGGGACCACGTACCTTTCTGGGACTCGTGCTTCTCCGTCTTGCCCTGGTAGTCGAAGCCCACGGCACTCTTGTCCACACGGTCCGCCTGCACGCCGTACTTGCCGCCGAAGCCGCTCGAGTAGTCTGGGAGACACATGGCTGGGGTGAGTGACCGGCCACTCAGTGCTGGGGATGCTTATACAAAGGGGCCAGCCTGCCAGGCGCGCGGGTCAAGGCGGACTCGGACACTGGACGGGCCAGGCGGAGCTGCCGGTTCTCCGAAGCCGCCAACTTTTTTATATATATACTGGTTTGCTTACTAAGTTCGTACACATTGTATTTCATACAATATTTCCCATTCATTATGCTCTCTAAAATTAATCACTGAACTATGCCCACCATTACCCTGTCTTTCCAGAACCCCACCAGATCTTTCCTGTTTCCTTTAACCACCTCTCCCTCCACCCTCCAAACTGTGTGACGCTATCTTTTCCCCCTGCCATGCCCACCCCTCGGCTCCCACCACTCTCCCCTCCATGGACCCTCATACATGTTTTACTAGTTATCTATTTCTACAATAATGGTCATATGCAGTATTTTTTCCTATGAGACTGCATTAACTCACTGAGCCTAAGGCTCTCCGGTTCCTCCTAAGCCAATTTTAGAAACTGTTGCTCCCGCATACTGCGTGAATGTGCCACAGTTTCTCAAGCCATTCGATTGGTTGGACATCTGGGCTGTTTCTATGTTCTTGTGATTGTGAATAATGCTGCTATAAACATTAGTGTTCAAATCTCCGTTCATGTCTTAGTTCTAAGTTTCTCAGGGTATATTCCTTGCAGTGGGACAACTGGGACATATGGAATTTCTATGTTAAGCTTTTCTGAAAAAAACATCAAAACTCCCTCCCCAGTGGCTGTACCATTTTACAATCCTACTAACAGCGTATGAGAGTTCATCTCTCTAAATCCTGCCCAACATTTATTGCTTGCTGTCCTGTTAAAACTTTGCCACTGCTACTGGCGTGAGATGGTATCTCACTGTGGTTTTGATTTGCATCTCTCTTACTGCCAGTGATTTTGAGCATTTCATCATGTGTCTGTTGGCCAACTGAATGTCTTCCTCCGTGAAAAGTCTTTCCATGTCTGTGCCCATTTTGTAATCAGGTTATCGATCTTCTTGTGAAGGTCCTGCAGGATTCTGTAAACTTTTGTTATGTGACCCTTGTCTGAGATAGTATGGCCAAATCCTTTTCCCCAGTCCACAAGTTTTCTTTTCACCCTGCTGGAAAAAGTTTTTGATGCGCCCAGGGATTCAATCTTTAGAAGGCCTTATGCATCAAGTTTATCATCTCTTGGTTGTATATTTCTGGCTGTATTTATCAGCCTTTTTATACCACTCGCTATACCTTCTAAGCTTGGTCCCACTTTGTCTCTTACGATTGCTATGGTTTGGGGCTTTACCTCTCACTCTCTGATCCATCTTGAGTTGATTTTTGTGCCTGGTGAGAGGTGTGGATCCTGCTTCCACCTGCCTGGTCTATTCTTCCAGAGCACATGCTCCAGGAGCTGTGGTGGCCCACGGGCAGGTCTACCTGAACCCAAAGGCCACGACTCTCTGGTTTCTCAAAAGGACGATGGGCAATCTCCTCCTGTGCCATGTCCAGCTCGGAAACAGGACCAAGAGTTCTGTCTCAGTGGCAGGAAGTTTGAGTTCTTCCTCTGAACGGCTATGGATCTGATCCGTTAGAGGGCAGTTCTTGGCGTGAGAGAAATGCAGCAGCCAAGGACTTTAACAACGAGCTGCTCCTAACTGGTGTGGCCGTCGTGGGTTATCAGAAACTATCACCATTAATGAAACTGAAGTGGGTAGACACTCACCACTGCTGAATTGGACTGGCTTAAAAAAAAAGGAAAAAGAAAAATAGCTGCTCGCACTCAGGTCAGAGTGCAGGGAAAGCCAGAGTGAAAGCGCTCCACAGAGAAGGTCCTAAGCTCCCGAGATGAACGAGCTGAGCCCCACGCCCCCTAAGTGAGGCTCACCGCCCCACAGACTCAGTGAGACAAGCACAGCAGAACTGCAAGGGGCCCGGAGGGTGCTACAGACCAGCAGAACTAAGCCAAGAGGAACTGCCCCAGAGCAGGCGCCACGAGGGGGACTGTGCGGGATGCAAACAGCACTTCACTCCAAGGTTCCCATCTTAAAGGACAATGTTGCTTCCTGCTGATATTTCCAGAGGGAGAAGCTTCCCTGTGGCCGTGTGTGTGTGTAGCAGCACCTGTCAGAGGTAGTGGGTGTCTCCTGCATGCAATTTAATGAGCATCAAAGAACTTCAGATCAACCTGACCTGGCAGTGGGGCTCCCGGGCAGACAAGCCTCCCCGGGCAGGACCTGGACTCAATGAGGGGGGGTCCCCAGCAGACAAGCCTCTCCAGGCGAGGCCAGGACTCAATGGGGGGGGGGCTCCCCAGCAGACAAGTCTCCCCTGGAGGGGTGTACACAGTGTGCAGCAGCATCAAGCTGGGCCGCAGGCCCTGTCCGTGACTCTGGTGCCTTCCACAACTTACCTTTTTGCGAGGCGTGCTTCTCAGTTTTACCCTGGTACTCAAAGCCCACAGCCGACTGAAGGAAAAGAAGACAAGGCAACGACTTAGTTTCCAAACACCTCCAAAGCCATTGCTGATTCCACAGCACGAGAGAAAGGTTTTAAAACAAACCAACTTATTTCTGACCTTTGAGTTCCTAAGTCAAATGCACATCCAATCAGCATCACAAGATGTGAGCTCCAGGGCCATGCAGCAGGACACACTGTAATGTAGGGTCCGCCAACCCCGTTCCCGACTCAACACAGAACGACTCCCTACTGCCCACACCTCCATACCCGACTGTCACATGAGTTCCCCAAGCATGATCTCAACACCAGGAACAAGAATGGTTGTGGCTTCCTCAGTCGACTCCCAGGCCATGCCCAGGGTGGGCACCGAGCACACGTGCCGGCTTTATGAGGTTCCCCATCACCTCTTCTACAGAGTGCTGGTCAACAGCCCAGCCCTCAAAGTATATATGACAGCCCCGAGCCAGAGTGTCACGGACTAGAAGGAATGACACAGACATGGTGCACTGCCAGGGTGGATCTGTGTTCTGCCTGTGTCCCTCACGGGTCAGTGACAATGGGCACGGCCAGGTGGACCTGTGTCCATCCTGTGTCCCTCACGGGTCAGTGACACACAGCGGGACCCTGGGCACACCAGGCAGACCTGCGTCCAGCCTGTGTCCCTCACGGGTCAGTGACAATGGGCACGGCCAGGTGGACCTGTGTCCATCCTGTGTCCCTCACGGGTCAGTGACACACAGTGGGACCCTGGGCACGGCCAGGCGGACCTGCGTCCTGTGTCACTCACTGAACCAAGCAGCAGTCATCAGTGGCACGCCAGAGAGTACACAAGATTCCTAGTTGGTAGCACACACCAGGACTCTGGGCAGTGCCAGGAGTGGACCTGTGTCCCAGCTAGTCACCACCACACTGGGGATAAATGAGGGGACAGGTCTCGCCTGAACTAGCTTGACTAGGTGAAGGCTGGCAGGTACTAGGGTTCCTCAGGGGACAGCTATCCTGGATGTTTGGTGAACAGAGGACTGCAGGGACCTGGGAGCAGACAGCGAGTGGCTGCTCCAGGCCTGGTTCTCACGCCCTCAAGCCCACCGCCACCCCGTCCACGCACAGAGCGCTGCAGACAGCTGACGGCCCCTCTCGCCTCCACGTGTCTATCTCTCTAGAAGCAAACTGTCCCACTGGCCTCCTACGGAGTGGCTACTGGGTTCACTACTGGTCACGTGATGAACCTCTGTGCCACCAGGGCTACCCCACGTCGTCACCCTGTCAGGAACCACGGGCACCTCACGAGTGTGCCTGCCCACCACCACCTGCAGCCACTGACAAGTCAGCAGCATCTCTTTGGGGCACATCGAGGTTAGGAACACTCAGCTCTGGAGGGCGCACCACTCCATGTTCCCCCAAACCCTCCAGTCGTCCACTCACCTGGTCCACTCTGTCCACCTGAACACCGAATTTGCCTCCAAAGCCCCGGACGGAGTCGACCTGGGAGCAGTGCTTAGAGAGCGTGGACTGGTACTCATGGCCGACAGCTGACTGAAGAGGAAGCGAAGCAAGTGTTACACATGAACGTCACTACCTCCCCAACTGTCCAGTGCAGGGGGCGAGGGACGTCTACACCTTCCGTGGACACAGGTGCGTCTCGCTGAGCACACGGGCCATGACAATTGTGGGGTTCAGACTTGGGCAGAAACACAAGCTGTTTTGTCAGCACCTTGGCTGCAGGGCCCCCAGGTCCCCCAAGTTCTGGGGCTCCCTGACAGAGTGGGAGAAGGCAGAGCTTCAGCCAGCCCGGTCCACACACACCACGCGTGAAGCCCCTGGACGCCAGAGTGCCATCATACCAGCCCCAGGCAGAGGTCCTAGTGCACGCATTTGGCCTGCACAGAGCTCCTGGCCAGGCCACGTCACCCTACTGTAACGCGTCCCACGACGCGGAGGCCGTGTCAGCCGCACGGTGCGCCCCGAGCTGTTAGGGGACTGCTCTGTCACTTCATTACTCTGGGTTTGGTTCTTGAATATGTGCATCGTGGTTGGCTGGATTCATGTGTCCAGGGCACATTTTGGGTGCAAAGTATAGACCCAGACTCAGCATCAACCAAGCAGGTCCGCTGTGGCCAGCCACTTGTGAGACAAGCACGTAGTCCCAGTGCCACCAATGTCCCCGGCAAACACTCGGTGCCATCAGCTTTATGGGGCCTCTGGCTTCCCTTCCCGTTCAGCAGAGCTGCCGTGTGACAGAGACCCCCATGGTCCCCAACAGCTGATCCACAGTCTCCACTCGGCCTCCCCTGCTCACCTGCCCACTTCTCGTCCTCGGGCCCCTCCAGGGCCAGGCCGCCACAGCTCCCTTCGGAGAGGGTGTGGCCCACAGTGACCGTGAGGACAGGGACCTTGGGAAGGCCTGCAGCACCAGTGCATCTGCTTTCTTCAGGACTCCACTACGTATGTCCACTAAGGGGGTCCCCTCGCCCCGCAGTGTCCTTCAGCCCACACTCGGACCTTCAGGGAACCGCTGGGTATGGGATGTAAACACAGCAGCAGTCTCTTCTGAGCCGGCAGGAGCCTGAGGGTACCAGGTCTTCCCGCAGCCCAGCAGAAAGAGCATTCACCCACCACGCCAACGGTCACTCTCCCTCCTTACGCTGGCCGGACTGTCACTCGGCCTACCCCCTCCCCACTGATGCATGTCAATTCAAGGTCTGAGACCTCAGGGAGAAACCAGCGGCCTCAGCCACCAGTTTCCCCAAAGACAAGCCCTTGGGGTACCCCAAACACCCCAAGCCACACCAAAAGTCAGAGGTGCCATCAAGAGAGCCTTCTTTGGTGCAACTACTATGGAAGGTGGTCTGGCACTTTCTCAAAAAGTCGGAAATTTATACCATTTGACCCAGCAATTCCACTACGAGGAATATACCCTAAAGAAACCAGAGCTGCCACGCAGATGTGTGTGCACTAATACCCACGGCTGCATTATTCACAACAGCAAAGAGATGGAAGCAAAGTGCCCATCAACAAACGAACGGACAGAAAAACCACGGTACGTCCACGCAACGGGACACTATGTAGCACTGAAAAACAAGGAACTTGTTCAACACTACACAACGTGGGTGATTTGGAGGATATTAAGCTGAGTGAAAGATCTCAGTCACAAAAGGACAAATATTGCAAACACTTATTAAACAGAACTGACATGGATACTGGGGAGGAACGAAAAAAAGGGATGAATAATGAATAGTGCATTGGAACAGAGAAAGGAAAGAACGATTTAAAAAGAATGTATGATTAGGCATTACTTGCATAACAACAGTCTAGAATAAGAGGTGCATAGCAAAGTGGGCTGGGGGTGGGGGGGAAGTGGGAAGAGAGGAAATTGTAAAACAATGAATTTATTTTTTTAAAGTGAACTGGGGAGGGGGTAAGGAGGAAAATGTACAACAACGAATTGATGAAAATCCAACTTTTCTGTAAACTTTTGTTAAACTCACACACACACACACACACACACACACAACTAAGATGCACCAGGGGGTGAGGAGGTGGGAAGAGAACCTTCTTCTATATAAGCCCATGAAAACGGTTTGAGAGACCCCTCCTACGAAGACAGCACTGAAAGTGAAGAAGGAAGCCCCTGCCCCTCCCAAAACAAAGGCATTAAAGTCCAAGGAGGCCGCCTGAAGGGCGTCCACAGCCTCAAGATCCACACGTCACCCACCTTCCGGCGGCCTAAGGGACTGAGACTCCGACGGCAGCCCAAATGCCCCCAGAGAGCGTCCCCAGGAGAAACAAGCTTGACCGCTACGCCATCATCAAGCTTCCCCGACCACGGAGTCAGCCATGAAGTAGAGAGATGGAAACAACACACTGTGCTCACTGTGGAGGTCAAGGCCAACACGCACCAAATCAAACAAGCTTTACAGGAGCTCAGTGACACTGACATGGCCAAGGTCAACACCCTGATCAGGCCTGATGGAGAGGAGGAGGCCTGGGTTCCACTCACTCCTGACTATGAAGCTTTGGGTGTTGCCAATAAATTTGGGATTATCTCAACTGAGTCCACCTGACTAATCTAAATACAATTTTTTCTCACGAAACAAAAAAGAGAATCTTCTTCCAAAGACCCAGTTAGGGGCAGCATGGCAACCAGCCAGCTGTCTGATGAGGACGCTTTATCCTGGAGACTGCCTCTAGTGACAGTGACAAGATCCATCTATCACCGTAAGACCAGAGCAGGGACCCCGAGCCTCAAACCGAGACCCACTGCTGAGAGTAGCCACACTCCCTGAGAAGAAGGGGTGCCAGCTCCCAGCGTCCACAAGAGGCCCCTCCACCCTCCTGCCTCGCCCGGCCCACCGTGTCACTGCCGTCTCTATCACACAGTCAGTTGTTAACACAGCCAGTGTGAGCTCAAAGTCACCCTGACACGGAGCAGGACCATCTCGGGTTCCCAGGCAGTGACGGTGCCGGGTGCAGGCCACCAGGTTTTCTTTCTCAGAGTAGCCAGTGGGCTCCACTCGACAAGCCTTCGGTCAGCTGCCAAGTGCTTACTCACTGCACCACCAACATACACAACACACTCTGCAGCAGGGGGATGCTGGAGGTGGGGGAGCACCTCAGGGGGCGGCCAGGTCCTCACTGGGCAGCAACCTGTCTGCACCCCATCTCTGCTCCCTGAGCGTGAGGACATGGTCGGGGTGTCCCCAAACCTGCTGGCACTTGTCCCTGCCCTTAGCTGGGTAGATGGGAAGTGAGGCGCCCTTGGCCCTCTGCACCCTGCCCTGCTCCCTGGGAGTGTGGACACGGGGGGGTGTCTCATCTCTTCTGTACCCCACCTCTGCGGCTTGGGAGTATGGGTGGTATGTGAGTACCCCCAGGCTCTTACACTCTACCTCTGTCCTTTAGAGTACAGACATGGTTGGGGTACCTCCACTTCCTCTGAACCCCACTGCTCCACAAGGGACTGAACATGACTGGGTTGCTCAGCAGGCGCTGTGCACCCCATCTCAGCTCCCGGGGATGTGGATGTTGTGGGGCTCTCATCTCTTCTGTACCCCACCTCTGCTCCGTGAGGACGTGGCTGGGATGTGGGTACCCCTCCACTGACACAGCACTGGGACGGCAGCATCTCTGTCCAGCTCAGATGTCCCATCTGATCCGCGCCCACACCAGGGTCGGGTGTGGAATTACAAATGGGAACTCGATCCTGGCAGGGCATCCACTTCCATGCCCTGAACCAAGCCCACACCTACCGAGACCAGTCAGCAGCTCACAGCTCCAACAAGAGTGTCCAACGCAAGGACGCTCGAGCGTGCAGTCCATCTCCTCTAACTGCCCTCAACGGGTGGCCAGAACTAGTCCTCCAAAGCTAACCTTCCTGGACCTGAGAGAGCCGACAGTGCTGCCTGGACACACGGATGGCCGGAGATGGCTCCCGTTGGCATCTCCAGAGAAGCAGGGATCCCACGGGAACAAGCCCAGGCTCGCTCGCACGTGCTCACGGGCACAAGCAGACTGTCAGAACTGACCCCCACTGCCTGCTAGACACTGGAGGGAGGCCAGCTCTCCTTCGGGGGCGTCAGTACTGACAGGTGGGTTGGGTCCAGAGGGTCTACATGGGAAGTGGTTGGGGTGAGCACATCTGCAGTCTTGGTGTTTCCTGGAAGTGTGTCCTGGGCACAGAGCTGGCACCAGCTGCCCATCCTCCCCTGGCCCCCCCGCACCCCAACCCCAGTGTTTGCCTTCCAAGAGCGTCCCCACTGATGGAAGCACAGTCAGCTAAGGGGCCAACTCTGGCCAGTTAGGCCAGAGCGCAGACTCCGAAAGGTCGCAAGGCCAGCACGGCGCCAGCCACTCACCTTGTCCATCCGGTCCTGCTCCACGCCGAACTTCCCTCCGTAGCCATGCGAGGCTTTGGGTCCCGTCTCCAGCTCCTTCTCCTTGAGGCTCTGGTGCTCCTGAGACACGTTCTCTCGCAGCTTGTGAATGCTGAGGGGAGAGCAGGTCGGCTGGGCAGGATGGCCCTGTGCAGCCTCACCACCGCGGGCAGGGTGCAGCCTGCCACACCCCGTCCTTCCATGTCCCCAGAGGCAGGGCTCTGTCCCCACATGTGCAATGAAGAACACACCGAAACCCGGCTTCAGACTGCACATCCTCAACGCCCCCTGCTCAGAAAACAGACGCAGTCTTCCCTGGAGACAAGGGCAGGGAGCCTTCCTCTCCACCCCCAGGTACGGGGTCTCAGTGCCAACCGAGTGCAGAAAGCTGGCGTGCAGCCTCAGCCAGAGACAGGATGACATGGCCGACCCCTGACCTAGGCCACCCAAGGCCACCAGTGTCCACTCAGACTGAAGTGCTCCAGCCGGGCCAGCCTGGAGGCAGAGCGGGCAGGTGCTCGGCCCACAGCCGCTCCAAGCAGGCACAGGGCTGTCGGCAGGTTCCCAGCCACAGCACGTCCACCTCCGCTGAGGGAAGGTCCCTGGCCTCCCACACTGCACACACCACTCGGACAACAGCACGCTCGCTCCCCGGCCGGCCGTCAATGCGGTGCTGACTGCAGACTTCCTCGGCACGCCAGGGCACACTTCACACACTGCAGCCTGGAGTGAGCACGGCTTTACATGCGCGGGGGGAGCAAAGAGCTCTCGTCACCAGCTTTGTCACGGGCTGTTCCTAGGTGGCAGCCTGGTACCACCCCACAACGGCAGAGGCTGGGAGGCCTGCATTTGAACATCAGCCCCGGGGCACGGTCTCTGCAGCCCAGGTGAAGCCCCCCATGTACGGGGCTGGGAGATGTGCAGATCACCAACACCAGTGGACAAAGGAAGGAGGTGCAGGGAGACCACCTGCCCCTCAGAGCAGGAGACGAGCACTGTCCTGGGCGCCGGGAAGGACCACAGACGGAGAACTTCTGTCAGAGTTCTCATCAACCAGAGGCTGTCAGCCTGCTGACCGTGGGGTCATCCCGGGTCTGCTCTGACACCTCAGTCCTCCAGCCCTTCCCAGCCTCAAGCTGCCTGTGAGGGAGGCTGGAGGGGCAGTGCTGCTGCCCGAACACGGCACAGCCAGCAAAGAACAACTAGTTTTGTGCAGACTCTGCGGGAGGGAAGATAAGCTGGCCACACCACCAAAGCCGAAAGCCGCCTGGTCACGAGGACACGTCACAGTCAGCGTGGGGGCGTCAATGCTGACCCCGGCAGAGCCTGAGATAGAAGTCCGGGCCACTGAGCATCCAGAACCTTCCGTCCTGACAAAGAACAGCGCGAGGGCGGGCACGGGCGGGGCGCCAGGTCAGGAACAGCGCCGCACCCCCATTCGGGCCTTTTCAGAGGAAAACAACGCTTCGGTTTCAGCTCACAGTAGCCGGCTGTCAAATCCTGCAGTGCAGTCATTTCCAGACAATAAAATCAAAGGGGGCGGGGTTTAGGCTGAAGCTCTTCAAAAACAGCTCGTGTTTCAGGAACCTCCCGCGTGTAGCATGGAGCCGTGGGGAACGTTCCGATGCAACCCAGAGCATTCCAAAGTAGACCTTCTAGGATGATGCACGGAACCAGAACCCAGACGGTGAAGAACGCGACCACAGATGGACAAGCAGTCCATATGTTCAGCATGAGCACATGTACAGACACGTGTGAACGTGCATACATGTGCAGACAGGTACACATGTAGTCAAGAGCCCTGGCGGGGCATTAGGCAAGCGCTCAGCTGTGAACCGGAAGGTCGGGTTTTGAACCCACCAAACAGCTCAGAAGGGTAAAGACCTGGTGGTCTGCTCTGCACAGGCAACAGCCGAGGACGCTGGAGGCAGGTCTACTGTCACCGAGCATGGGGGACCACGGTGGGTGACAGCACCCACCACTATTACACACACCCCCCACCACCACACGAGGTCATGCCGGCATCAACCTCACAGCAGCCAAGCACCCGTGTCTGTGCACACATCATCTACTGTACAAACAGGTATGTACGTACATACACACACACACATGAATGATTATGTCTATCTCCACGTACGGGAGCTCTGGTGGCTCAATGGAAAGGAACCGCACCGCCAACGCAAAGACATGTGGTTCGAATCCATTAGGTGCCCTATGGGGGAAAGATGGGTAATCAACTTCCCTGCAGCCCTGACAACCCGCTGGAGGGCCAGCTACGAGTCGGTTTGGACTTGACAGTAAACAACACCACCCACACACTCCATGTCAACTCTCACCTGCTGTGGAACAAGTGTGTAAGGGCATCTGTGTGGACACTAATGTGCGCTGTTAGGTGCTGTCAAGTCAACTCTATTAACTCCTATCAACCCCAGGAACAAGGCATCTATATAAAAATGTGTGTGTGTGTGCGCATGCGCACACGTGCATACATTGTTGTGTACCGTGTAGTCAGAACCGACGGTTGACCTTCCGAAAGGCTGTCAGAGGCAGGTAAACTGCACGGGAGGAGACAGCCCATCCTTCTCCCTCAGAGCAGCTGGGGGCCTCGAACTGTGTGCCTTCAGGATTGGGGTGCAGCTGCGTACCCCGAGGCCACCAGAGGTCCCTCACCCACATACATGCACATACATCTGTATCTCCATATGTTACTGACACAGGCATACGAGCTGTAGCTGGCTGGATGACACCAGTCACCTGCTACACATCTGAGAGCTGCCCAATGAATAAGGGGACAGAAGAACGGACGCCTCTGAGCCGTGGGGTTGGAGCCAAGTGCTGAAGATCCCAGACTGCCTAAACAACCAACGGGTAAAGGAAAGGACGCAGCTGTGTGCCCCGGCAGTTAAGGACAGCAAAGCTGCACCTCACACCCTGAGGGCATGTGGTCAGGAGACTGCTCCTTGGAGAGAGAGTGGACGGTCAGCGAGAAAGAGAAACTGCAGCCAAGAGCCCAGTGGGGTCAGAGAGGATGTGGACGGTTCAGGTCAGTGAGTCGCACTCAAGCCCACAACACCTGACGACAACACTGGGTGCATTCACATCTACCGTCACCACGGTGTGAGTGTGCACAGGTGCCCGTGGAAGCACCGTGACTACCTAATGCACAAACGTGTGCAGGGCTCTGCGTGCGTGTGAGTAAGGGTCTGTGTATGGACCTGGACGGGGATATACAGACACCTGTCACCTACCAGCTCAGCCCCACAAGGGAAGCACCTCTCTCACATGAGGGGACCACAGGCCTGGCCAGCATGTTTTCATCCTTTGGGACAGACATCACCATGACTTACTTGATATGCTCCTGGTGTCCCGACCCCTGCACGGTCTTGGCTCCCCATCTCTGCTCTTTCTCACTCACATCATTCTGAAAAGACAAACCAGTGAGCAGAGGACCCCGCACGCCAGACAGAAGACCACCAACCAACCAAGGCGCCTGGCTGAAGGGAAGCCGTCGCCTCAGGGAAACCAGGAGAATGGCAGACTGAACTCATACCACAAAGTCGGGGTCTGTCTCCCAGTCGTCAGCGCCATCGTCCTGGGTGATGGACACGGTGTGGCCTGCAGAGGCCTTCCACATCTGCAAGAACAAGACCAAGGTTACGGAACTTGGGGAACCCGACACGCTGTGACCACACAGGAAGGGCTGGACAGTCACATGTCAGTGGCACTCATCTTCCCACCGGGCTCCAGGGACAGCGTCACAACAAAAACAAGCGTTAAAGTGGGCGACCCTGGAGGACATTATGCTGAGAGAAATATCTCAGTCACAAAGGGACAAATACTGCATGGTGCCACTGTTGTAGAATGGGTCTGTCATCAGGGTGGGGGTATGACAGAAAAAAGTGGATAAATTATGTATATTGTATTGAAACAGATGAGGAAGAGAACAGATCAGAAGTGATATATGATTGAGTATTATGGTTAGCACGGGAATCCAGAATTAAGGTTGCATAGAGAAGTGTACTCGGGATGGGGGGAAGGGACGTGGGAATTGTATACTAATGAAGGAATTTTTTTTTTCTTTTTTCTCTCTTCGGAGGGGAAAGCGAGCTGGTGGGGAGGGGTGGGAAGGGAGAAAATTGCGGCAATGCATGAATGGAAATCCAAAACCTCTGTTAATAAATAAATAAATAATTTAAAAACAACAACAACAACAACAACAACAAGCGTTAGCGTGCCAGTCCCACTGTGGTGTCCACTGGCTTCGGCACTGCCAGGAGGACACGGGGGCTTCAGCTTGGGGACAGCAGTTTCTGAGAGAGACAGGTAGCTGTGCACGTGTTCACAAGAGCACGTCTGTACTGTCACATCGCAGGACAGCAGAGAAGGCACCCACTTGGCGCCCAACTGTTGTTGTTGTTGTGGGCCGTCGGCTACAAGTCCGTGATCAGAAGGCTGCCGACCCATCGATTTGGTGGCCTGCACAGCAGAGAGCATCGGCCTTCCCAAGGTTAGGTGGCTCCAGAAAGATGTGTTCCGTTTGAGACGACACAGGTTTGTCTAGCAGAGAAAAGGTCCTTTCTGAGTGAGCATGGCAATCAATTCCCTGTGTAAGTGCAAAGGTGAAAGTGACTCTGTAAGGGTTTATACCAACCAAGCACCCATCTCAAACAGGGACCCATTTTCTGTAGAAGCATGAACAAAGGCAGGCAGGTCTGTCCAGTGTCCGGATAGAGAAGCTGGCTCACTTTCTCTGGCGCCGACAGCCACTGCCTAAGCCACCCGGGCCTGGAGGCCTCCACTGAGGGGGGACAAAAGCTCCCAGACAGCTTGATAATCCCAGACTCGCCCTGCCAGCTCTGCTGGGGTCTAGTCCAAGCTCAAGGTGACTGTTAGATACTGTCAGGTGGGCCAGTTCTTTCTGGAAGTGACTGTGGAGTCCTTGATCTGCTTTTGATACTCTGTTTAGTGATACAGGGAACTAGCTGTGCTTAGAAGTCTTGATAACTGCAATTCCAGGCTTGAATCTGTTCAATTCTTTCAGCCTGAGAAATGTCAAGCTGGGTTTTCCCTTCTGCTTCCGTAACCCCGGGTCTTTGTGCGTATTTTGCTTCTGCTGTCTTGAGTTTTTCTGAGATGTTCCGTTCAGCTCTCTCATCATTCTGCCGTGTGCACGGGTCACGAGTCCCCTGACATTCTTTTGGCCATTTCCTTCTGTCCTCCTTAACAGCCTTTCGGTATTTTCACATATGCGGTCTCTGACGTCACTCCACAACTCACCTTTCGTGTTCGATGTGTCACATCTAGTCTGTATCACGTGGGATCTGCTCCAGGTAACACACCTGGCTTCTCATGGACTTGCCTTCCTTTCCCTCAGATTCCACTTGAACTTACACGTGAGAGCTGACGAGGTTCCTGACCTTGCTCTGACTACCGCTGAACTCCCCCACTGTCTCTCTCCAGAGAGGTACAGTTCACGCGATGTCTCTGCAGTCTACCTGTAGGGCCCACAGGTACAGTCCCCATCTATGCTACTAAAAAGCAGTCATACTGCTAGTCTTGCCAAAGTCCATCACACTGTCTCCAGAGGCCTTTCTCCCTGCCAGGCTGTGTTTTCTAACTGGGAAGAAGCAAATCAGGTTGCAGTGGCTTCATATTCCGGACGCAGCTCTTGTCACCAGAACGGCTGAGGACAGGCCTCATCAGTGCAATAGGACCACCAATGCCTCTCACGCAAAACTGGCTCCCCACCATCCTGGATTCCCCAAACAAGAGCTGCTTCTCACAAGGTTTAGGGACCAGAAGAGCCACAACTGGTTACCATGGGAGACAGAGCCAGATAATCCGGTCCCATGACAGCTCAGTCACACGCTGGCCTTGCTGCCACGCCCTTGCCACCCAAGCCCACCAACCTCGTTCCTCCATGCTGTCTAAAAAGGGCTGCCCACCACAGCAGGACATTTCCAGACGAGGCGCCGGCACAACAAACTCTCCCCAAAAGTCAACAAGAGGGCCGGGAGGGAGGAGAGCCCAGTCCCCAGCTGCATTACAGAGAGTAGCTTCACCGGTAGCCTCCTGACACCAGGCCTTCCAGAGACCAGGCCCAGCACCTCCTTCACTCCTGCACCTTCTGGTCACTTCTCGAGCCCCACACGCACCCTCTACACACACACAGGGAAAGAGAGCACGCACTCACCTTCTGGCAGCCTCTCGAGCCCCACATATACAGCCCCCCACACACACACAGCCCAGCTCTCAGTTATAGCAAACAAGGACATTTCTGCCCTAGAAAATCACCGTCCCTGCCCTGTCGCCGCAGGCCCCCAGGTGCAAGCCCCCCCGCCCCAGGGGACAAGGTGAGGGTGCAGGACACAGACCTTTCTCTCTGGAGGGAGCACGGGCCTGCTCAGCACACGCTGTGGGGAACGCAGGTGTCCACGGCGGGCCTTCCGGGCATCTGGGGCAGCTCTGTCTGCGGGAGAGGAGCGCTCAGCGGCTGCTGAAGGGCGCCCTGGGCCAAACCTTGCGGGTGGAGGGCCTTCCAGAACACCCTGCGGTCCAAGGAAACCCCACGAGGTTTTGGAAAGAAATGAGAAAAAGAAGGAGCCAATCAGCTCAGCCAACTTGCTGGCACTTCGTTACACCCAGCAGCAGCGGGCTTTGGGCTGCACGGAGTTGCTTCTTAACACAGACAGGAAACGACTATCTCTACGGCTGACATAAGGAGCCCTTGTGGTGGAGTGGGTCAAGTGCTGGAAGGCTAGCCAAGAGGTCAGTGGTTCTAACCAGCAGCCTCCAGGGAGGAAGACAGCTCCTCCAGGAAGATCTGTGACCTGGGAAAAGTGCTGCAGGCTGGCACGAGTCAGAAGTGACACACGGCAGTGGGATGTCGGCTGCTCTCTCTGCTAGCGTGCCTCTCCTGCCTGCTCGTTCTCATGTACTGTACGAATAAATCCAGCTCTGTGGGTTTTCAGCAGAACACTGCTCCCCTAGAGCACGTGCCCTCGGCTTTCCAGCCACAGCACCACCCCTCGAGGGACAGAGACCCCAACTCCCAGACATGCTCAGCCACCAAGTCACAGCCCTTTCCTGAGACAGAACAACTAGTCACCGCCCTGCCATCGCCCCAGAGATGACCACTGTCCGTGGGGATCACTCCAAGGACAAGCCAGCCACCAGCCTGTGTTCTGGAGGGGGAGCACTACACCTGGCCAGTGCTCCCTCTGATAAGCCTCCTATCTCGTCTACTTGATCCCTTCTCTGTCTCTCTCTGACCCCATTGGGAATCCTGACTTTGTGGACTGCTGGGTAAAGACATTTGGAGACTGGAACACCATCAGCAAGAATCTACTCGGGGGCAGCTATGGACAGACCCAAACTGACAGTGGGCTAGCCCTTCTAGTGCACTGTTTCCACAAAATCATGAAAATAACAGACTGAAAGACAGCTGGGGTCTGTAGGGTCCTGAGATAATGCCTCTGGACCCCTACCTCACACCACATGCAGACTAACTCAGCAGATTGACATACAACTATCAAAGCTTCAGCTTCAGCCTAGAGGAGGAGACAGAGCGGCCTTAGAAGCAACAAAAGAAAAGCAGACACTCTAGACTTCATCAACAAGAGAAATGAGTGCTGGGAAGGGCATGCAAGCCACCAAACGGCAAAGATGTCTCCAAACTACAGACCTGAGAAAGGACCTGTGTCAAGATCAAGTGAAGAGTTTATAACCCAACAACAAAAAAAGATAACCCCATCAAAGACACTGGCAGGAACTCCATCTGAATATGCCCTTCTCCAAAGGCCTACAGCCCATCAACACATGAAAAGACACTCCATGCCGTCATATCTGCTGTCACAATCGGAGGCTCTGAGTAATTCTGCATGACACACAAGGGAACCAAGCCCTGCCTGGCCCGTCCTCCCAGTGCTCATGGACCACCAGAGCGCTGTACTTCCGCTGCTGATTTTTAGAAGTGCGTCTCCAGGCCTTGCTTCCTAGTCCATCCTAGATAGCAAGCTCTGCTGACCCTGGTCAGCATCACACACTCCAGTGACAGGCGGGACCTGGGTGCACACAGGACGGTGACTATGGGCCACCCCCAGGTCTCCAGGGACGGGCAGGAGCTGGTGCACACAGGGGCGACCATGGCTCACCCCCTGCTGTCCTGCACAGAAGGGGAGCGCTCCAGAGGCTGCGAATCACAGTGAGGTGCCCACAGAGCAGCTGGCACCTTCGGGTCAGCAGCACAACCCCTGCCCCGAGGCCCTCAGAGTTCCCGACTTCAACCTTCAGGGCAACCAAAGTGACAGTGACAATGGACTTCACACCCTTAAAACCAAACCCATTTCCCTGCAAGAGGTTTAAGGAGGGCGCCTGTCACATGGGGAACAGTGCTGCTATTCTCACAGCTCTCTGACCCCAAGTCCTGCCACCGATGCTGGCCCCGTGGACTCCCGGAGACCTCGGGCCTCGGCCACCACTGGACCAGGCACAGACTGAACCGATAAATATATACCACCTTCAGAAAAAAACAAAACCAAAAGCCAGTTGCTATGGAACTGACAAGCAGCCCTGGTGATGCAGTGGCTGAAGTGGCAGGCTGCTAACCGAAAGACGGGGGGTTCAAACACACCATCCCCCCCAACGGGGAAAAGA